CACAGGATTCATCTATTGAAACCTGTTGGACTATCATTAAAGAGGGAGTGAAATCGTTGTGCGCCCGATTTGTACTTCTCAAATTTCAGAAAGTTGGGCCAGTCAAACCACATTGGTTCGACAAAGAGTACAGCAAACTAGCCCGACGACGACGTAGACTATGGAACAAATTTGTGTTATCTGGCTCTGATGAGGACTACAAGGCGTACAAGGTACGGCGAAATCGCTGCAACAACACGAAAACAAGAATACGCAGAAGCTTCGAAAAGCAACTTGCAGCCGCCGCAAAAGCTGCTCCCAAGAGAATCTTCGCATACGTGAAGCGGCGCCTGAGGCCTGTAGCCAAAGTCCCAGTGTAGAAGACTCCGATGGACAGCCCTTGACGTGGAGTACAGATCGTGCGTCCGCATTGGCGGCGCACTTCGCCTCTGTATTTGCAAGTGACTAGGTGTCTGTAACGAGTTCCACGAGTACCGCTCTCGCTGAACTTGACAGCCTAGACTGCAGTATTGAAGATGTACGCAAGCTTCTAGCAAATCTTGATGGGACGAAGCCTGCTGGGCCAGATGGAATCAACCCACTGATCCTCAAGTCCCTATCGCCCATCATCGCGCCTTCTGTAATTGAGCTGTTCAACAGGTCACTATCCACTGGACTAGTACCGGGAGACTGGAAATACTCAGTTGTAAAGTCAATACCTAGGGTGGTAACCCAAGCAAAGTGGATAACTACCGGCCGGTCTGCCTGACCGTTGTTTTGGCAAAGACGCTCGAGAAGATCGTGAAGAAGAGCCTTCTGCAGCTTCTCGAGTCGAAAAGCCTCTTGACACCCGCACAGATGGTTTCCTGAAATGTAGCTCGTGCATCACCAACCTACTGTTTACGAGGCACGAATGGTTACAAGCGCTGAACCAAGCCAAATCAGTCGACGTCATTTGCATTGACTTCAATAAGTCTTTTGACAAGGTAAATCATGCAGGGCTCCTAGACAGGCTGAGCATGTGCGGTGTTGGTGATTCGCTACACCAATGGATCAGAAATTTCCTTGATCGAAAGTGGAGTGTCCAGGTTGACAACCATTTAACCGGCTGGTATCCATCGAGCAGCGGCGTGCCCCAAGGCACTGTACTGGGGTCGATTTTGTTTCTGATCCATGTAAACAACGGGCCTCAGCTACTCCAATCTCCTTGTGCGTTGTTCACGGATGACTTGAAGGTGTGGAGAGTAATCCGCACACACAATGATTGTGGTTTACTTCAGCAGGACCACGACCGCCTCTCGACATGGTCTGCAGAGATCAACCTTCCGATCAACCCGGTCCCTTCTTCCTATACTCTCCAAGGTCCTGGAAACCATAGTTACGGATGCACTAGTCTTTTATCTGACAAAGTGTAAACTCATCACGCTTCTGTCTGCAGCAGTCATGCACGACGAATTTACCGATCACACACTATAGTTGGACAGAGGCAGCTGACGCTGGAGAAGTTGTTAATGTGGTCTACCTGGATTGTTCGAAGGCTTTCGATCATCTAGACTATCGGATACTACTCTCCAAGCTCCAGCCTTACGGGATCGACGACCCTCTTTTATAATGGATTGCCAACTTTCTACTTCAACGGCAATTAGTGGTCAGAGTTCGGAGCTCTTTATCGGACCCCATACAAGTTGAGTGTGGTGTGCCGCAAGGCTCAGTTCTAGGTCCACGATTGTATTTTGTTCTCATTAATGATCTCGCGCAGGAAGTCGCTTCAAACTTATACTGTTTGCCGACGACATGAAGATTTAGCGCAGGATTCAGGTAAAAGCCGACCAGCATCCGCTTTAGAGTTATCTAGCTACGGTGTGTCAATGGTCAACCCAAAATTTACTGCATTTCAACATCAGTAAATGCAAGGCACTTTCCATCCGACATCATAGCAGCTATTCATACCTGCTCGGAACGAATGTACTACAACAATCACCAGTCGAATGTGACTTGGGCGTCCTGATTCAAGATGACTTGGGTTACTCCAGGCAATCCGAAAAGCCGTCGAAGACTGGGAACCAACACGGCTGTTGCGACAGGCGTTTGGACAAATAAACAGCTCCATATTTCGACAAATGCTCAGTGCGTATGTTCGCCCCCATTTCGAATACGCAATTCAAGCCTGGCATCCGTTGTTGAAACACAACCTTAATGTATTGGAGCAGCCACAACGCCGGGCATCTAAGAACGTAATTGGAATGCGCAATCTTTCCAACCAGGAGAGGCTGCAACGATTGGGAGTATTCAGTGAAAGGTAACGCAGACCTCGAGGCAACCGGATTATGGCATACTTGATTCTGCGAGACCCACCTCATGTGTGCCGCCCTTTACTGCGATTCCGCACCAATACAAACCTGAGGGGCTACTCATTAAAACTCGCTGTACAGTATAGCCTCCTGGAGTGCCACAGAAATTTCTTTTTTTATCATGTCTGTCACCCGTAGAATGCTCTCTCAGAATCGGTTGTCTCTGCACCGACACTAACAGTATTTAAAAGTCGGTTGGATAACACCGTTATCCACTTACACTGTCACTTAGCACTGTGTCTCCATCCTACAGCTGGAGTTTACCATGGATTTTTTGATGTTAACTGTGGGTGCTGTGAATCTAAGCTGATTGCAGGACTACGGCTGAGCAAACGTCAAGTCCTTATTTTCATATTTAAAATACTAACTTTATTATTATTATTATTATTATTATTATTATTATTTTGATATCTCTGCCAACTATCCAACGGGACTTATAAAGCAACGCTTCTTAATCCGTATAAATTCTTTGTATTATGATGGGAACTAAACTGAAACGCATGTGGATCCGAGGCTAACCCACTGGGCTTCAACAGCTTTGCGCTGGCTGTTCCGATACACTCCTTACTTTTCATGACTGGATGTTGTGTTTGGACACAGAGATTTTTCCTCGGAACAAATGCTACACACATGTCATTTTCAGGTAGTCGTGATTCCTCTATTCATCCACCGGCATCACTGAGATGACCGTCACAAGGGTGATTTTCAGATAAGGAAAAGTATATAACATTTGTTTCCAGCCGCGACTGATGATTTACCACAAGCATTTCATAGTTTATTTGGAAACAACACCAATCGGTACTTGTCGACAGTGTTTGAGGCGGTTGGGTATAGCTCGCTCCCAATTGTGCACTCCACTTAATGCGTGGTACTTGTTTGCCGTCTTTTGGTAACGGTAACCGATCTGATATTACATATCACTACCAGCCTTACAACGACTTTCAGAGTGGTTTCAGTTAAGGTCTGACGATCAGCTCGTGCACACTAATTTGCTGCACAATGCGGTCAACAGACCCTAGTGCTCGTCCTGCCAGTTTTCTCATTTTTACTGTTTGTACCTGGTGTGGTCATCCTAGCACAATTGCTACTTGAACAGCCAAGTTTGGCTTTGATTTTCGAATCATGGCTCCTACTCTAAGTAGATTGCTACTCATAACCGCGATTGGGTCAGGAATGAATTTTTGTGCCTGGCCTTATCCGTTGATAATATCCAAGGCTGAAAATGGACCCATCCGGTTACGTAAATCTCATCTGGACTTGACTTAATTTGGTTGCTGTGTCTACAAAGGGATTACGGGTTGATTACGTTTCATTGCCCATACATGTATACCCCTAATATTTGTTAAGATCACAGACATTTGCCCGATTAGCGCAATCACGGTGGACGGCGATGGTTCCGGAAACGATGTGTAGTCTCAGCGTGTATCACTCATAATAATCATAATAATAATAATAAATTTTCCGGTATAGGTATAGCTAGTTAACACCCTGCAGTTGTATTGTTATCTTACGTAATGTTGCTCATGACTTCTATCAATGCTACCTTTGCTGCCGTCTCCTCATCATACTGTCTATTTAAAGGGTCGCCTTACCCTTTACGGATAGACAGCTACTCATGAATAACGTGATTTGCTGAGATTAGTTTTGTTCATCGCAATTAGATTACAAGCCAGATAGGCCAACGACCTATCCGGCGCAGCACCAGGCGGCCGTTTCGTCCTCTTGGGATTCGTCAGTGGTGCGTATCTCAAAACCTTTGACGCCGTCGAACCACATCTCAACTGTCTCACGTTTCTGAAAGTGTACTCAGGGCGCGTTCCATCGGTGTCACTCCTCATATGTACACTACATATGACCGCATTGTACCGCGGCATCCGCACTAAGTATCGGTGTACTGTAATTTTTATCCGGTCAATAGTGCCTCTCCCTAAAGTTATGGAATCTCGCAGACTTCCGTGCACAACCACTGAGTAGGCATTTGCCTCCAGGTAGTCCAGTGCCTGGCAGCTGCGATTTTTGGTAGCAAGCATACCTGGCATAGAAACGCTGGCAGTAGTATATGCATAGTACTACTTTGACAGCGTGCGATTCCCGTTATCCTTCTGCACTTACAGTGATGCTAGTACTCGTTTCGCTTGGAGCCCAAGCTCTACAATAGTCTTGTCGTTGTCCCTTCATAGCGTCTCGATCCTACCAATTTTCTTTTCTTAACAAGATTCAGTCTTTTCCTTCCACTGATCGGAACCCCCTTTCTATATTCCGGGCCGCTTCTGTTTAGGCCGCGCTTCTCATTTTACCTGATGTGTGTAACTCCCTCTTGGAAACAGCCTTCCAGTATAAACGAGTTTCTGTCTGTGACTACGTTACCGATGTGAATGCATTGCTTCTATCGTGAATGTGAAGATTGACAGTGCAGGAACCTCTGCGAATTTCGCCTGTGGTTTGCAGTTCTGATCGCCAGACATACTTTCGCTACCCTGACACATCTGAGTTCTTGTGTGTTAGACATATGTCCACCACATTTCCCCTCCATAGTATGGCACACATCCTATCGTCTACATTGTTATTACCCAAATTTGTCATTTGCTTTTGGAGTCCTGATTTTTTTGGGATATTTATGAACACTTCGTGACATATTATACACATCATTTTGTGCCTCCACTGTTTCAGATTTCACTCAGGTGCTGCTCATTGCTTGGGGACATCCTCAGTTCGCAGTTCCCAAGTAAGTGTCTGTGGGTGTATATGTGTGTATATTTGTTCGCATCTAAAAGGTAGTGTGTCACCGGACTGCAAAAAAACCTGGACTACAATCATGCTCCGAATCTCTGTTTTCTTCGTGCACATGTCTCGTCGCGATCGAGTTACTAGTCTCTTATCCATGGGACATCATTAGCTCTTACAGAATACCATGCCTTCATTTCTATTTTCGATTCCCTAGTACTGCAGATATTACGTTCTCTGAATACTGTATAATGTATATGGGAGGAAGTTGGAGTTTAAATCTGTACCACTCCATCGCGGTGTAATCAAAAATTTTATAAAATGTGTCTGTAATCCTTGACACTTGAGTTGCTTTTCTAGCTTTTATGTAGCATTTCAAAACACCTGACTTACAGCATCATTTGATTCCACAAATATAAGAAATCACTGACAGTGTGCAATTGTTCTCTGAATCGAATCTCGGTGAAATGTAAATCCAACAACATTTCTAAATACTGCACATTTACCGTTCTCCGTTCGAAGCACACGCGGGGGGTTACTCGTTGTATATCTGGCACCACAAGCTTGTACCGGTGTTCATGCGTGCTGTGTGTCGTTCGCAAGTGAATTGATAGTCCATGATAGGATAGATATATGCAACTAACGATAGAACAAGGTGTTGAATACTAGCTTCTCGAAGCGGTCTTTCTACGACAATCCTCCTGAACTTTGGATGAGCCTGGAAGCGACTTGTAAGACACGTTCGATCTTCTGTGCTCTAACTCGGATGGTTTGACGGTATGCAGGTGAGCCGTTCTCCAGCATTGGTCTTATGATGGAAGAGAAGCGGCGAGTAGCGCCCTCTTCAGACCATATCCAGAAGCTGCGTTTGATCGCCCAAAGCACGTGCAATCCGTTCGTACTCGTGTTGTCAACAGGCTTCGAATCACAGCGCGAGTGTACACCTAGGTTCTTCACGGAAAGGGTGGGATGTAGCGGTTGGCGGTCATCACCCTTCCCCAGGCTCATAAATGCTGACTTGGATAACTTGACCGAGAGGTGGACTTTGGCGGGCCACAATGGGATCTATTGAGTAATTTCCTTCTAAACAAACTTGGTTACCTACTTGGTACTTACTCTTTTCCACATATATTCATCTTCCATTTTCCTATGACTCCATTCCTCGCCAATCGACTACTCCTCTGGCTTACTTTGGTTTTCTTGCATGTATGTGTGTGCACTCTGGCTTCAGACATGGACGCACCTGCATACCGCGATGTTTGCGGGCAACTAGTGCACGCAATCCTATCTCCATTTGGTGCAATCGTGGACACGTTTGGCCGGCAGCTACGGAAGCGATTTGAGGATGAGTTGAGCAGGATTCAGTTGGTGAGTGTTCTTCCAGAGTTGATGCTTTCCGCGACTTATATATGTGGCCAATTTCTCACTCCGTTTCAAGTCTATTCAAGTCTATTCATGTTACTCGACATCGGAAATTTAGCGCACCATATTCTAATAGACAGGTGTCCGTAGGTCTATCTGAACTGACGGTGCGATTTGGAATGACCGAACACGTCTCCAGTAAAGTTTCATTTGGCTTACTGTCTGGGACTGACAAGTTTGACGTGAAGAACTTTGAACGATCGTTGCTATTCCATCGTCCTACCCGGATTATAGAATGCAGCACTCTGGCTAGGATATTTTGAACCAATGGGTAATGCAGTTCCTGATTTGCAGTGTATATGGCGTAAATTTCAAGTGTGCACTCGTCACTTCTATCAAGTTTAGTGGGCACAGCTATTCCGTTTCTTCTTTTACTTTGATGAAGCGCCTGCCGTCTTCGGAGTTGATCCTTACCTCACGGTGCTTCATTTGTCTGTATCTCTCATCTGTCTATTCTCCTCTCTTAATACATGCACACCGTTTTCTTACTCCAGAACACCGCCGAGCAACACCACTTCTTGGATGGCCTAGCCCAGACCATCTCTTCATCAATCCAACTGATTCACACATCCATTCAAAGTTGTTTCGATCTCACATTGGGCATGGGCTTGCCACATCTGTTCAGCAGTATTCAGGTAAGATTAAACTTTTACCTCCCTGCATTTTAAAAACCAAGCTTCCCATTTATTTCTGCTGCCCCATCTGCTTCGAAATTCTTGATAGCTTGCGCAATGCCATGGTTTCACCTCTACCAAGACTTCACACTTGCCGCGCTTTGGTCATTTTGTTTTGTGCCCCTGGTACGTCGCGCACCAAGCAGAAGTCATGTGTTAAAAATTGCGCACCTAATCGTCACCCCTCGGTAGCTCAGTGGTAGAGCAGCGGACCGGAAATTCCTTAGGCCGGGGTTCAATTCCGCGTCGAGGCACATTATTGTGTGTGAATTTTAATCGTGACTTCTACCTTCTACGAGCTTTACACCTTTCTCAAACATCCACAATTGACAAGGAACCGTTCGTATCGTCGCACACACAACTACAATCACTTTGTTGAGATGCTTCACTGCGTCACTGAGCCAGTATGTATAACAGTCGCTAATGTGACTTGCAATTATACATATATATATATATATATATTTCTATATATATCTATATATATATAATTGCAAATCACATTAGCGACTGTTGTACATATATATATATATATATATATATATATATATATATGACATCTTGCAAATGTGGCACAGACACTTTGATATATATATATATATATATATATATATATATATATATGTATATAGAAAGTCCGGTTGTCCGAGCAAGTTTGTAAGTTTAGTTGAATGTCTGCATAGTGGTATGCGGGCGAGGGTGCAGCTGAGTGGAGAGACGTCGGATGATTTTGCAGTTGTCTCTGGTGTGAAGCAAGGCTGTATCTTAGCTCCTGCTCTGTTTAATATATGCCTTCATGCATTGATGTCTTGTGCTTTTGATGCCGCTTGTGCTTCCGATATTTTTGTGTGGAGCACAGTATTGATAGTAGGTTGCTGAACGTCCGTCTTTTCGGTGCGAGAACCCTAGTCTATGAGACAACCATCCGTATGTTGCTGTTTGCTGATGATTTGCGTTGTTTTCACACAGCGCGGATGAGTTGCAGCACATGACTAGTGCTCTGGCTTCGACATAGGCCGAATTCGGGCTCACCATCAACACATACAAAATCTTCTGTCTCGTTCAGCTTTCACCTGATGTGCAATCTGCAATGGTACCGCCAATCAGCATTGGTGCTGAAGTATTGGAACCCATGAGCTATATAGTTGTTAAGGTTCTTTCAAGTGATTGGCTGTTGTTTGACATCCCCGGTGTGGCTGCGCTTGATGTGCATGTTGACAAGGTGCCTACCTGTCTATTACCCACTATCTCGTTCATACTGGCTCCAGGAGACAGTTGGTCGTTGCTGGAGGGGACAGGGTGTACGGTCCTTGTGGGCATGCTAGGCATGACGAGTGGTTCCATGCATTCAGTGTGGAGCGGACTACGGTCCAGCCACCGCCTTGTGTGCGGTTGATTCCCCAAATACAGCGTGCTTGTGTTTGCCTGTGAAGGAGTGTGGGCCGGCTCCGTTGATGAAACATTGCTCCCATCCACATGCATCCCGGTCTTATTCCTTCGGGTTTACACTGAATATGGGTTGTGTAGATGGACCTGTAGCTAATGCAATGCAAGCCACCCATGGTGCCTCTGTAGATGCAGGCGTCGTGTGGCTGTCTCTGTGGAGGCTTCAGTGACAGGCAAATCCGGAACCGGTTGCCGCAAACTACGGATACCGGTCCATAGGAATAGGCAATTATTTTGATTTGGGCTCAACAGTTTGCCAAAGGTTATGTGAACTACAGGAGATTTATATTTCTTTCATTTCCATTTGCCGTTTCGCACTTTCTTTTGTTTTGTAAAGTATTCGTGTTTTTTTGTAATCAGCAATTTACACAAACGTACCCAACCGGTTTTTGCATCATTGCATCGAGTCTTCGTAAACACTGGCATTCTTCATCTGAGTCCCCTACGGGGAAGGTGTACGGAGGCATCGATGCATAAACTTAAATTAATCAATATATCAAATGGTTATTCTGCACTGCGCGAGGCACGCCTGAGCAGGCTTGATCATTGCACGAGTACAAAATATGGTCAGATAATATTCCATGGAACACTTATGCTGATATATGATTGTATGTGTGTGTTCATGTACGCGTGTTTAACCGTGCTTATGGGTTTTTTAAATGCTTGCAAGCCCTTTTGATGGCGTTCCCAGTGCTACAGCGATGCTTGTTGTTTGTGGACTTGAAGCGGTCGTTCAGGTAAGGAAGGGAGTGACTTTAGTTGGTAGCTTGTCAAACCGCCATGTCACAATGTTGTTGAACAGACGTTTGTGGCTTTTTATAAGGAGAACGCTTGGCAGGCGAATACTCACCACGTCCTGCAACACTGCCGCCGAATTGTTTGCTGGAGCGGGGTAAACCCCAAAACAGCCAGTTGGCATCACGAGGAAGTTGTTTGGTTAGCCAGCCCATTTATTTTATGCCATGTCGGTAATTGCTCGGCTGATCTCTACGTAGCTTATGCCAGTGCGACCATATGTGCGCAAGTAGAGTGCGGCTTATCAAACCCTCATTAGGCATACGTAGGACTTGGCCAAACTATCTGATTTCCGCAGCAGAACAAGCTCACAGAGTGGACGACCCTACTTGCCCAAGTCGCGTTGTCTGTCATCACCATTGCGCACTCGGCGTTCTCACAATGCACGGGCGGTCATCCCCAACATCCACTGTCAAACACCAAAGTCTACACATGCACCCGCGAGGATTCACAACCATACAGCAATATCGCCTGAACACTGGCATTGTGCATCCCGCCCTTTAACGACGGTGAAACGGCGCAATGACATCACAAATGCCTGACGTTGGCGAAAGCCAATTTGGTTTTAGCGTCAGCATATATGTAGCTTCGTAGATAAACCAAACTATCCACGTGTTTGAGCGTCATAATCAGCTGTTGCTCGTCGCATATCTCCGTATCGCTTGCGTAGGTAATCCAAGCAGGAGGCAACATTAATCGCGCCACGGACTGATGGTCATACTCTGTAAATTTCGAGCTAGGCACCAGGTGGGTTGCGTGGACCCCAGACTGGAACGCGACACGAACCAACAGCAGCCAAGTTAGCGGTTGCTGCGTCCATTTTCTGTCGCCAAATCTGCGACAGCACCCTCATACTTTGTGCTAGGCAAAGCATCAGCGGTCTTGGTCGTAAAGTCAAATGGCATCGGCTGCACGCCGGCACGCAGTACAGTCGCTTCGTTGTCGCTTAACCTCCACCAGTCGTACGTGGGCTAAAGATCCTGCTAGGGTCGCCCAGTCCCTACGCAGGCTCGCACCCGCGCCCTCGGATTGCAAAGCAGGCTTGTGATCCTTTAAGCCACTAGTTACTAAGCGCCGCGCTCCATAATAGGTTTCTTTTGAACTCCTTACGTGGAATAATCTAGTTATGTGGGTGGAGCCTTGGGCGTTGCGATCATCTGCGGTCTTTCTCATCACTTGTTTACCGCACTGTGTGAGCAACACTCATCCCGACGATGGGTCATTAAAGCTTTGGCCTTTAGGGCACTACCAAGGTATTTGGCTCTGTGACCGTTATTCCAGTCCGAATGAACCTTCGATCCCATCCAAGGGACTGAATTAAATGCCTTCTAAACTGATCTCACGTATAGCAGCTTAAGACACAGAGTTCTTTACGATACACTGGTGACCTACCATTGCGTAACTTACATTTCCCAACTTCAGAGGCTGTTATTTTGCTCTGAACTTTGTATGGTATTAACTACGCTATGCAGCACATCTTTCTCGAGCTTTCTACAAACTACATCCGTAGCTAGTACAACCCGTTCTGTACAGGTGTAATCATGTCATCTCCTCAATATTATATGTGTGGGCATGCGCGTGAGCGGAATACAACCCTTGAGCATTTTGTGATGACTTTCGTTTGATCTCCATCTCGAGCTATGCATTGTCTTTGTTTTAAGGAACTCTTCGAACACTGGCCTGAATTTTTGGTTGAACGCTTCTCCTGCGCCGTGTTCTTGTTACTAATACAGTTTAGGTGTTGCGTCTGTTGCAGATTTCGGCCGCGCTTACTCCCAAACTCAAAGGATCGGGATCTTGATAACCCTGCTGCAAGCACGGCGTCACATTCTATTGGTTCCGATACTTAAGCTGAACGTTCGACCTTGCCGAAAGTGTCTTGCTAGTAAAATTACATTGATACTTCATCGCAGTAGCTTCTGGGCCGGATGGCTTAGCACGCATCCGGAGGAGCACCGGACGGCCGTTTCGTCCTATCTAGCATCATCACTGGTGTGCATCCCCGGCTTCGTCGTGAATCTAATCCCAGACCTCTCAATACTAGCATTGTGCGCCACAAGCCAGAAGCTTATGCCAGTAGGTCAATGTGACTGCGGGAGATCGTCAAGATTTACAAGTTAACTGTGATACAACACTCACATCCTCCACTGTCATGCATCTTGCGTAAGTTACAGAGGAGAGGGCTAGTCCCCAGAGTCACGGCTTCCTACCTTCATTGGTTTGTTCCTGGTCAACAGATTTTGTGTGCAGCTGACGCAAAGTTATACTTGATCGACCCCCTCCCCAAAGTATTTATCAATGCGACTCATTTACGAGTGAACCTTGGATTCATATTTTACTGGCAGTTGCTTTGTAAGCTACCTATCTATTTAAATATTCTTCGCCTAGCTGTTGACATATTTTATTAGCGGTCGCTTCAGCAACCAGGGAAAATGAGCAAAGGTCACGGGACATGAAACCATGGTGTCACTTTCAAAAGTCACATGCCTGTCGACCACAGAAGGGCAATAAAATAGACATGATTTCCCGACGCACCTAACCGCACTGACGATGCTACCTCATGTGTTGGCGAAAGGTATGCAACTATTTAATCAAGCCTGACGAGCCAATCAACAGATGAATAGCCAATCCGGGTTATCAGTATTTCAAATCTTTTCGAACTTTGATTAGCTATTGACAGTAAACTTCTGGTGTATTCGTGGGGATACTACACTATGTCCTGTCGACGTACATGACATGAGTTCACTTGAAGTATATCATTTCGCAATATTTGTCACCGAGTGTTGTACCACTATGTACGAACGGCTAAATAGACTCGCATTCCCACCGCTTCTATACACTTCCATGTTTCAATTATTAGTTTACTACATATGCCATGTTGCTATACCACCCTTCCGTTCGGTAATAATTATTTCTGGCATTATTCTTCGGTTCCGCTCCTCTGTATATTTTGCTCCCCTACTGATTCTTGCTTATCGAATGAGGCTCCATCGATCTTTCGATCAGAGCAACACTCTTCTTCCCCCCTCTCTCTCTCCAGTTCTACTGGGTCACTTTACTTGCCAAATGGACGATCGCCATCGAACGATCTGGGGAGCACCTCATCAATACGGATGCTAAGGGTGGCCACAGCCAGACAACTGGGTTTGTTTGCGCCCTCCGGGTGGCCACACTGACCGGTAACGTTTTCCTGTTCTGCAATTTTTTCTACAAATTACTCTGAGGTCTTACCCTACTTTATAACAATCTCATTTTGCAGTCTAGCAGAGCTGTATAATGTTGTAACGGCTATACTTTGCAGTAATCATGCTTTTGCCTCTTCATCGTTTTCGTGGGCTCATTTTTGATCCGCGATTTATAGTCTCCACTCTGAATGTCGCTAGCTTCTTTTTCCCTTAATACTTAGACTTCTCGCTATTGAACAAAAGTTATGCTTGACACTTCTCCAGAGTGCGGCGTACTCTTGTGTTGTTTTGACGGCCAACACCAGCGCAAGCGATTTCACTTCCATCACACTCATTGGTCACATGATTGTTTCTTTGTTCTTCATCCTTGTTCGATCGCTTCCAGACAATTGTATTAACCTCTGTAGAAAAATTCTCGGCTCATGACGGCGACCCACGAAATTCGCCAAGCACAACTCTTCCGAAATTCCATTTCGACGTTCGTTAATCCAATGTCCCATACCGCAACTGGGTTGTCGTGCCGTGTGGAACCCTCCATCTCACATCTTGACTTTACTCTCATTCCCGGGTTGTTCGTTACATGACAAATTCTCGCTTGCCTCTTTCTTTCGTGTGCCCCAGTTCATTGGTAATTTTACCACATTAACGGTTTGATTGGCTGTCTTTAATTATCGTCTCGAACGCCTCTGAAGAGAAGGTGAGTCGGCAGGGTATTCTGCTTCATCCTCATCAACAATCAACAACAGCAGTACATCAGCCGTTTGAACTAATGCTTCGCTGCCATACAACCACGATGACCTATGGAATAAAGATAATAAGAAGGAGAGAAGGAGGACTTACCTGAAAACCTTAATGACCTAAGCAAACATTCAGGGTCAAGGCGCCTACACCTTGTGTAGATAACATACCGCCACAAACAGCTGGCTATCGTGCAAAGACAGCTTTCTTATGGCTTTCACTGCCCCGCGTCATAATTAGCCATTACGCTGCAGACAACTCAGTACCAAACACATTTTAAACAGGCAATCCGATTAGGAGACCGCAGCAGACGCGTCACTGGTGTCGGTTGCGAGCCATGTCCTGTAAAGTCTCAAGCCAAGCACAAGGCGAGTCACGTGAACTGCAGCCCGGAAGACGAGACGAACGAACGGCACCCAGTTGGGTCGTCAGTGATTTCATATCCAGCTGCCAAGTCAACTGCTGTCCACCTCGAGCTTTGCGCCACCCTGCAGCTGGCAGACTAAACAAGGCCCTCCTAGGTAAGCGGTGGCCAGGCATACGCAACTTATTCAGTGCTATCTGTTGTTCCAGGGAGCTAGCATGATTATCACTATGAAGTACTCGCCTACGCACATCATCGTTGCAGACATGCTGGTGTCGAATGACACCAGCAATGCTTCGTAGACAATGATGATCAAAGACTTGAAGGCGCCTCAGGTCTTCATACCGAACGGGGCAAGTTTCACTATCATAGAGCAGGATGGCCCTCACTTTGGCATTGTATACACCGGTTTTCAGATGAAGGGAAACTCCCTTCTGTCGCGAAAAATGCCGCAGGTTCAAGAAGGCACTTCTGGATATTGCAATGCGTGAAGTGACTTCACTTTCCATGAGCCCATCGTTGCTGATGCAACTCCAAGGTAAGTGAATCGATCAAGCACCTCGAGTTCCTCGTTAGCAAGAGTCAAGTGGTCATAAAGTGGCTGGTAGTCCTGCAGCAACACTTTGCCCTTTGAAGTTGCGAAGTGCATACCAAATAATGCGATCACTCTAGACAGGCTATTCAGGATTGATTATGCCGCCGTAACATCGTCGAAAAGCAAAACGATATCGTCCGCATAATCAAGATCAACTAACCATGCATCAGGCAGGACCTCAACGCCTACATCATGTGCTTCCGCCTTGGGAACACTCCATGATAGAATCCACGACGAAATTGAACAAAAATGGGGAAATCAGACACCCTGACGAACGTCACTTTGGTCGGAAAGCTATCCGACAGGTCACCATGGACTTTGACGTAGACGAGTATAGTGCACGTAGGATGTTCACATATTTCCTGGTAACAGCTTCCCGCGCAACTATGTCGAACAGAATGGATCGATCCACTGAATCGAACGCACTCTTGATATCGAGCAACAGTTATTGTCTGTCTGCGGAATGTGTGGCGCTGCTCTCGCACCTGCCGCAGAGTGAATATATGCTCTATATAGCCACGCCCTGGGCGGAAACCTGCCTGTTCTTCCCTAATCCGAGATTCCTGTTCCACAGTGAGGCGCCGAACGAGAATCGAGGCCAGTAATTTTGTTACGACTGGCGTTTGGCTAATATCGCTGTGGTTAGAACAGTCTGTGCGACTACGCTTCTTATATATTGCCACTATAATCGATTCGCTCCACTTAGCCGGGACACTTACTTTTAAATACGTTCGAATAGGGAGCTCAGTGCTTTGCAGAGGACCTCACCTCCATGCTTAAATACTGCAGGCAAGGGGAAACCGGGTCAGCGGCACGAGAACGTTTGAGGGCTGTGATCGCGTTTCGGACCTCGGCTTTCGACGGAGGCACTTACTAATTGTCCACGCCACGTTCAGCATCACCCGAGTAGGAAGAAGTCCGGGATCAGGGGGCCAACTGATCTGATCTTGAAAGTGTTCCTCCAAACGAGTCATATGGCGCTCCTTATTGTGTATCAGTGCACCCGCACTGTCTCTGATTGTCTCATTGACGCCTGGTTTCCTGGGACCAGTGGTGCGGGTCAGCTGGAAGAGTTTACGGCAATTGCCTACTGCTTCTGCCTCCCCCATTTCTTGCGCCCTGCTGGTTTACAAGACTTTCTCTTCAGTACGTAGGCTCCGCTCTAGTTCGCGCCTAATAGCCCGTCTGGTGACATCGTGCTCAGAGCCAGCCGGAAGGTTTCTTCCGGATTCCAACATGTTCATCGACCTCTCGGATATCCAGTGACTGGTGCGGTGACGGTTGATAGTGCCACAAGCAGATGCTCCTGCGTCGTGCATAGCGGCCGAAATCCTATTTCACTGAAGCTGAGTGTCATTAGGACAAGACAGCGAAAGTTCGGTATGCAATGCGTCTTGATAAGCTTGACTGACCGAGCGATGAGACAATTTCTCAGTTACCAGTCGGAGAAGACGCTGTATCACGATTTAGTATTCAAACTATGGGGAGTAAGACGGTTGTCAAAATATCCCTACATAACTTTTATATCCTCGGCAGATGTTCCGCAGAAACGAAACGTTTTATTTAAAGCCTGACGCTTTGACGGATGACTGCTGTGTGACTATCGCACTCTAATCACGCGTTGTTTATCCGCCGCTACGTATTCTCATCATTCTCTCCCCATCAAAGTCCTTTGGCCACGCGAACGTTTCTTGACCGGGATGCAGTCCTTTTGCAGCCACATCCTTTTTGTTATCACGCGCCTCCCATCCCACATTGGTTCCTTCAACCTTCTCACAAACGATCTTAGCTTCCTAAGGAGCCAACACAACATCCCTCTTTAGGCGGCACTGCATTCAAAGCATCTGTCCCCATTTTTACTGATACTGCGCTCCTGATGCTTTGACCTGGTTTTTATTGCACTAACTGGTTGTACATAGCCCCAGTAGTCGCTTCTTACGATAAAAGGTTCGGCTGGCCTCGGAATGGTCCATATCAGTGGTTGGAGACTCTTTTGTAGATTGCGCAACCACGCATTCAGTGGCGATTCTTGCATCTAGCCGCTGATATCCATCCCCATTGGTCTATGCGCTTCCTATTTAGCCACTATTTCTTTGTCTTCCGTCCACGTGGTTACCTTTCTATCATATTAATCCCAAATGAGACAACTTATCCTGTTTCACAACCGCCTACCTCAGTGACATCTTACTATGGTATTATGAGTTTTTTTTTCTACGAATAATGCTATTGTTTTGGCTATTGTTTTGTTCCCTTGCATCTGTATTGGCTGTTTCTGTTTAACTCAATTCGAAAAAGTGGCTTACACACCCAGCATGGTGAGTACTCACCTGTTACACACACACACGCCTTCACCATTGTGAAAATAAAAGAACTTAAAACAATGAATACACAATTAGATCAATTAACGGTATTGATAACATCATCATCATCGTTAGCTAGAGGTGTAAAAACACCTCAGCTACTGTGGTGCAATACATAAATAAAAGGAAAATAAATACAACAGCTCCATGCCAGCTGAGATACCAGCAACGGATGGGGATCGTTCCGGAAAGGTAGCAACCAGCTGCTGGACAAAAATAAAAATTATAATATAAAATTATATTATGCTTTGAAATGAGGTCGTAGATGGAGGGGGAGGCCAAAAGGAATGGGGGAGGGGGGAACATAGAAACTCACAGCAGGAACGACACTGAGTTCTTCTCCTAGCCATGTCAACAAGTGTGTCTAGCCAAACATGTTCATCGTCTTTTGCACCCCAACCTGGGAGCCGTGAAGCTCCAACCGAGGCCAGCTCCCAAGTGATGTCTGATACGTATTACTCGAGTATTACTGGATCGCACCTGGACCCTTAGTCCGCGCAAGAAGTGAATAAGAACACACACCGGATGGGACGTGTCAAAAACTGTAATGGATAGCTTGTAGGTTACACCAGATGAATAAGTCGAAAAGGAACCACTCAGCACAAGGAAAAATAGTGGACGAATCAGCTATCGGTCAATCGATCTGTATGTGCCTGTGTTTGCTCAGCGGTTTAGCGGACGACACACATGTAACATCCCCTCACGTGATAGATGGAATCACAGTTGTGAAATGTAACGTTCTATCGGCTTAGGTGAGCGGTGCGGTTTCCGAATAGCAATCGGCTGATCGATTTCTTCCGTTTGGTTTTTGTTTGTCTCCTCCAGATCTTCTGGAACCACTTTCTCTTCCCCAGGGTACGGTGTGACTGGGGTGCGGGGCCGGATGAAATCATTGTGCCTGCATACTGTCTCTCCACTCTTTAGTTCTATTTCGGCC